TTTATATACGTAATTACCTTTACTGATAGTCTATTTCTTTGTGTGGGCTTGAGTTACTGTCTAGTGTCCTTGTATTTCAGCCTGAAGGACTCCCTTTAGTATTTCTTATAAGGCTGGTCTGCTGGTGATGAACTGTATTTCTCTTTTAAATCTGGGAATGTCTTAATTTCCTCATTTTTGAAAGATAGTTTGCTGGATATAGAGTTATCAGCTTACAGTTCTTTGAGCACTTTGACTGTGTCATCCCACTGCCTTCTGGCCCTCATGGTTTCTGATGAGAAATCAGCTATTACTTTCATTGAGAACCACTTGTAACTGATGAGTCATTTTTCTCTTGATGCTTTCAAGATTTTCTCTTTATCTTTCAACAGTTTGATTATAATATGCTTGGTTATGGCTCTCTGAGTTTATTCTACTTGGATTTTGTTGAGCTTCTTGGATATATAGATTAATGTTTTTCTTCAAATTTGGAATGTTTTGGGCCAATATTTTTTCAAATACTCTTTCTGGCTATCTCACCTTTCCTTATAAAACTTCCACTATGCATATATTGGTAAATTTGATGGTGTCCCATAGGTCACTGGAACATTTAATTTTTGTTCATTCTTTTTTTCTGTTTCTTAGACTGGATAATCTCAGTTGACCTATTTCTAAGTCTAACTGATATTTCTGCCTACTCAAATCTGCTGTTGAATACCTCTATTGAATTTTCATTTCAGTTATACTTTTGAACTCCAGAGTTTCTACTTGGTGCGTGTATGTGTGTGTGTGTATACATATATTTATATAATTTTTATATTTATATAATTTATATCTCTGTACTAATTATATGTATATAAACTCTATCTCTGTTTTAATATTCTCTATTTGGTGAGACATTGTTCACATCCTGTAGTTATTTAGACATGGTTTCCTTTTTTTTTTTTTTAAACATATTTAAAATGGCTGATTTAAAGTCTTTGTCCAGCAAGTTCAGCATTTGGACTTTCTCAGGGACAGTTTCTGTTGATTGTTTTTTCCCTTGTGTATGGGCCATTCCATTGTGTTTCTTTGCATGTCTCATTTTTTTTTTTTTTTTTTTTTTTTTTTTTTTAAAAATGG